TTTTATTTTTTTATTTTTTTGACAAATGACGTAACTTGAGATATGTCTGTATTTTGCAAAGTTAAAGTGCACAAAACTTTTCTGTTTGGACTCGTTATATTCCAGTTGATGGTGACTTAAGCACGGGTTGGCTTTTATCTATATTGACTGATTTTATTTCAGTGAGTGAGATTTTTTGTTACCTATCAGTCCATAAATTTTGTCACAAAACTCCTTTCCATTATAAGTTTATAGGAGAACTTGTAAATTATTGGATGTTAATCCTCTTATATAAATGTCTTATAAGTTGGTTAGTAGTTTTTATGTTGATTGACTTTCCTTAAACGAATAAGCGTCAGCTCAGAACCATGAGGTAGGACTTTACTTGTGAAAGGCATACAGTGGAACCTCGCATAACTAGCATAATTCATTCCAGAATCTTACTCATTAAGCAAAACAATTTTTTCCATATAAATTAATGTAAAATATGATAATGCATTCCATGCCAAAAAAACATACATTAAACAAATATTTAATGTATAACTTTTATTCAAAGAAAATTATATGATACACATTGTTAAGGAACATGAATCATCATTATTTCTTATAGTGTGTCATGAACCAACCTGGAATACAATTTGATTTGCAGAAAACAAAAAAAAAATTGAAATTTAATTTGGAATTAGTCATTAAATTTATTACAAGATAGCAGCATAACTGCCTACCTCTAGTCAAATTATTTAATTTCTAATATTTAATTATAGCCTTTACATAGCCCAAAAATTTGGCATATCATTTGGCATGTTTATTATATAATGGGCTATGGGTTGTTGATGTTTATATGTAATATGTCTGAACATAAGTTTGGAAAAATGTGTGATCACAAGCAACACTAAGATGCTAGTGGAACGAGGGCTAAACCCAGACTGATGTAACATGGGGATTACCCTCTTCTCATTGCTCGTTAAGCGAGTCATTTTTTTACAATTTGTTTTGCTTATTATGTGAATTACTTGTTATGACAGGTGCTTGTTAAGCGAGGTTCCACTGTATCTTTTTTTCTTGCTGTGCCAAGATCATAACGTAAAAGTACACTATAAAATCATTATTTTCTTTGTTTTTTAACTTTAATTATTTAAAATAAAATAGATATATGTAATTACTATGTATAGAAAATTAATTGGAATTTTTTTTGTGCTTTCAAATCTGAAATTTAATTATTTTTTAAAACTGTTATTTTGAAGTAATGGAGACTCACATAAAAATATAATTTTAAAGTCGTTTAATTCTTCTGTTTTCACAGACCAAATTAGAAGTAAGTCAAATAATTTGAAGAAATAAAAAATCTTCTAAAACATTAAAGAATAGATTATTAAAAATTATCACAAAGTTAAAATATGATCAAAATGGGACTTTTATAGAGGCTAAGGCACTTTCCATTACTTCAAATTGAAGAAACTCCTGGGAAATGTCATCTTTACATATGACTTTATGTAAAACTATTATGTTTTTAAACTTAACAGTTGTAAACTGTGACATGTTCCTGATAAAAAAAAATGAAAAACAGATTAAATCTAGTGGGATTTTTAGTGAGCTATCAATAATCTAAAAAATAAATGAATAAGTAAAATAAATTACTAAACAATTATGAAAATACAGTTATCACAAACTAAATATAATTGGCCTATAAAATAAAATAAAATAAATATGATAAATAAAAGTTAACAAACATACTAAAATGATATACAATATAAAATAAATGCAGTAAACTTGAACATACGACCTCAAGAAACAAGAAAAACACTCCATGCAGGATGAGAAATGCAAACAAAATGGTGACAATTTTCGAAAAACTCTGTCTTAAACGCAATGATGCCATCTAGTAGGAAATACATTCATTAGACCTTCTGGAATCTTCTACCAGTCAGCACATTCTTCTAAGAAATGCCACAAAAGAATTTCAAGAGTTACCAGGAGTCGATCTATTGGCAAGTTGGGCATTTTAGCAGAAATTGAAAAGCTGATACATTGGCAGATTGGGTGTAAGTAAATAGGGATAGGGGAACACGCAACCAAAAATAAACAAATTTTATTTTAATTCTATTTTCCAGTTTTACACGAATTCCTTTTCCTACCAGTTCTTGAAGGTCATCGTTGGTAAGACTCTCACCAGAAACCTGCGGTAACTCCTCAATATCCTGCTCATCTACGTCTAGACCTGCTGTATCGATTAGGTCAACAATTTAGTCAACATAACAATACAGCAATAGGCTCTTCTCGTTGAGAATTTTTGGATACCTTCAGCCATAACTTCTTCCGCACTTCGTTCAAGCATTTATCGGTTAATCCTTGTCAAGCGATGCTGATATTGCCTATGGCATTCATGATGATATATTTTTTCTAAAATTGCATCAAACAAACATAGATTTAAAGAAAGTACACCTTTCTGCCACTTTTTTCTGATTGATTCGTGTTCATAAATAATCATATTATATACGAATCAGTGAAATGCTGTGATAATTTAAATCGGCATAAATTTTGAGCGTTTCTTAGGCTTCGAGCATACCATGTTATATCAAATCAGCATTAAGCTGAGTCTTACTGTATTTGTACTTGTTATCTTATGCACAAATATTGTGATTTAAGATGTTTTTTTTATAAATATATTTTTTTAAAAGCAGTGTTAAAGGTAGTTAATGAAAAAAAAAAATAGATACTTTGCAAAAATGTTAATTAAATATTTTAAAATATAAAAAGTATCTTTGAATATTTAAAGAAATACTTAAAAATTAAGTTTAAAAACATCATCATAAGATTATTTGTTAGCATTTGTTCCTCTGTACATGATATTGACATCATGAAGTATGCACAATGGAACATCATGTTTTTTCCACCATGGTATCACCTTACTCATGACTACTGTTTTTTCTATTATCTCAAAATATGACTGGTTTCAGGGTTTGCAAGGTTGGACCACAAGTAGCAGATTGAGATATTTGTAGGGCTCTTTGCTATTAGTTTTGAGTGACTTACTAGTTTTTAGGCTACATCTCAAGGAATTATGCTTTACTTTTTATAAAACCTGTCTTGCAGCCTTTGAGATTCTAACCAGACACATGTTGTTTGCCTGCAGTTTATTTATATATTATTAACAAAAGTAGTGTTTTGTATACATAAGCTTATTCTGTTTGCTTCATAAATTACATCTGTTAGGCGGAGACTCCACTACCATAAAAACGGCGTGAAACCCCTGCCCTGAGCAGGTCATAAAACCAGCATAAAAGCGAGTTGAATAGTGTTCAAGTCACTTTTACACTGGTTTTACGACCTGCTTGGGCATAAAATACCAGGGTCATGTGATTAAAAGCTTTTATGGCGAGGGATTTTACGCCGTTTTTACAGTAGTGGAGTCTCAGCCTTACATGCTATTTGGCATATTGTGCAGAACTATGTAAATCTAAGTTTATTTCATCCTTTGAAATTCAGACTAAAAAGGAATTCCTGTATATATTATTTCCTAAAATGTAACTTTTTAAGTTAAATAACACACACCTCAGAAAAACCTTTAACCGATGTGAAATAAGATTTAATAGTACAAACATTTTCAGACCCCTCCTGGGTCCTTCTTCAGGTAAAAATCATTTGAAAAGTTAATAAATACGAAAAATATTCTTTTTGAACGATTTTTTTTTAAATCAAAAAGGTAGAATGGAATCACGTGACCTATAGCTCTGAACGTCCTCATTTTTAATTAAGGGAGAGAGGGTAACATTACGGTTGCTGCTCACTGGCATTGGGCCATCTTGACTGGCAATTTCAAATCGAGGCAAGTGATCTGCAAAAATATTAAAGTGTTGGCAAAACAGTTTAAAATATAATCAAAATTATATTTTAATTGAAAAAATATTATGTAAAATTATTTTTAATATTTAGTATATTTACTTATGATAAAATGACTTTCTAATGACTGTGGATCATAAGAAATAAGTTTTATGATTTACAGATGAGGCTGTAATATATTAAATTTTCAAATGCAATTTGCATAATTTTAAGTAAAATACTTGTTTGCTCTAAGTAGTTTACTGCCATTTTGACTTAAAAATTGATTTTTCAAGATGAATTGGTCTAGACATTTGTGGCTTAATTAAGTGAATGAATTCAAAAATTGGTTAACTTGTGATGATGATGATAAGAGTATAAAGAAAATATAAACATTGGAGCCCTCTGTTACTTGTATGTTCTTGTCACACAACTGTGTGACCTAGGATTTTAGCAAGATGAACAGTGTAATATTAAGTGGAATATTATTATTATTATAAATATTATCTGGAATATTAAGTGTGGGGAGTTGTAATGGAACGTTTGTGTAAGAAACAAAGACTCCCAAATAAACTAAGATTCTCCTATTCCCACAATGTTTTACCAGCAAATCTTATAACCAAAGAGAATCAAAGTTATATTCCATCACTTTTTGGCTAGCTCTGTTTGAACATCTATTGTGTAATATCTTCACAATGCTCTGCTAGACAAACACAGCAATCTGGTAGTGGCACCTATATAATAGATTTGCCATTCTTCAGTATCAACAATATTCAGTATTTTTATAACAACTTTATTTTTCTGTGATAACCAAATGATAAATTACATCACATCTTGTTGAAATTCCAAGTTGTCAGCCCATTTCATATCCAGTGTTTTGTTGTTAATAAATATATTATAATAATGTTGCTAATAAATATAAAAACTTACTTTTAATACAGTAGAGTGTCGTTTATCCGAATCAATTGGGGACTGGGGTTGTTCGGATAACCAATTACGTATGAAAAAATAATTAACCTATCCCATGTTGAAATTTTTCTCCATTGCGTGTCGCTTCGCATTGAATTTTCGTGGATGTTAAGCCTAATGTAAACTTTTTAAAATAATAATCGTGGCTATTGTATCATTAAAAAAATTTTTTTTATTTTTTTACAAACAAAATAAATTTTATGGAGAATTTATAAAAATGAATTATTTTTCAGGAAGCCAAAAAAATGGCAGAGAAGAAGAAACTAATGATGAAAGAAGAGGAAAGTGAAGATGAAGATATGAGTGAAGAAGAAAGTGATGACGATGGTAACTATTTTTCAAATATTACATGATAATCTATTCTTCAGTTTTGATAGATTAAAGTGTATTACACCGACATTTTCTGCAAAATGTTATCGTTCTTGATTGACACTTGGTAACAGTATTAATTTCACATTTTAAAGAATATAACCCTTTTTCTAATGTGCCACTGCAAAATGTCACTAATTCAAACATTCTTAATTCTTCAATTAGTAGAAAATGTGATACCAAATTCTTGGAATAGATAAAACTGAAAGGATTACTTGTTTGACCACTGGATGATTAGATATTATGACCTGCATTGATTACAGGCCTATTTATCACTCAACTTTCTTTTTGGTGACCGTCTCCTTCTTTCTTCAGTAGCTTCCATCCTACTTTGCCAATTTACCTAATTAATCATCACTATGATTGTAAAATTACCATATACTGTAGTTAGAAACGAACCCCCAAGAAAGATGTTTATGAAGGGGGAAATGTCTCTCAGTTTACGAAAAAGTAAAAATCATTTGCAAGTTATAACATGGTACAATACTTAAAAACGTCTTAGTCTGTAGAAAGGTTTCTTTGTCATCTTCGACAGTATCGACATTGTCAAAAAATAAAGCAATCGAGAATTAAAAAATAGATTTCACTAATTATCAGTAATATAGCTACAAATTTTACCACTTGCGAGGTGCGCCCTATGCGTTTGCACCCTAGGTAGCCACCCATTCTCCCTAGTTATGTCACTGCTCTTTACAGATGTAATAAGTAATGGTTATAATGAATAAATCTTGCTGGTCCCCTAATGATTGTTTTAACTGAGTTCAACTGTATTAATTCTGGAGTAATGTATTACAGAAAGACATTGTAAGTTTCTGTTAGTTTTTATACTTATAAGGATCCTAAACTCTGCATTAATATGAATTTAATATAGTGTTATTTTTATTATTATGGACTATGCCTATTAATTGTTATATAAAATATGGAATTATTATATAAATAGATCTATAAAAATAAAAACTGATAACCCAAGTAATCTTAATTAAAAAATTTTTTTTTTTTTAATAGATGATATGAGTGACATTGAAGTAGGAAGTGACGAAAGTAATATTTTGTATTCTTTAATTTTACTGGATGTTTTAATTTTATTTTATTAAAGTAAATAAATGAAATTTATTAATAGGTGATGAAAGTGAAGAGGAAGAAGAAGAAAGTGATGAAGACGATGATGACAGTTTAGATGAAGAAGAGGATACGAAAAAGCCAAATAAAAGCAGAGATTTAGGACAGTCATTTGCAGATAAGAGCATGAATAGCAAAACTCCAGTTAAAGCTTCAAACAAAACTCCTGCTAAAACTCCTAACAAATTAACTGTTCAACAGAATTCACAGAAAAAACAGATTGAAAATAAAACAGCCAAGACACCTAAACAACAAAATGTTTTTCAATCCAAAATGGAATTTTCTCCCTCGCCTAAAAAAAATGACGATAATTTAAAAACGCCTGCTTCGCTGAAACAATCAAAGGCTGCTGGTTCAGCAAAGAGAAAAGTTATAGAAATTGAAGAGGACGATGATGATGATGACGACGACGATGATGATGAGGAAGAGGATGATGATGATGATGAGGAGGAGGAGGAAGAAGAGGAGGATGAGGAAGAGGAAGATGATGATGAGGATGAAAAAGAAGCACCAAAACTTGTAAAAGCTGTAGAACCACCAGCAAAAAAGGCAAAAAGTGATGGTGAGTATTAAAATTAAATTTATAGGACTATAGCATATAATGAAAAGATTAGTTGTAAACACAATGTTTTAAGAATCACACATTTATTCAAGATTAAATTTTTTTTTTTACGCTATCTCATCTCTTTAACTCTTTAAATTAATTCATTAAGTTTGAATTGATTTGAAGACTGTTCCTTATTTGAATTTTATAAGTGATTATCTGAAAATGAGATAAAACACTTTAATATGTAATTTGATAATGTTCAAATTTTTCTATCTAGCAAATTGCTTCGCCAGTCCAATGCATTGAAAATTTTTGCTTTCCACATTAGTGTGGACAAATTTCATTAAGGGAATAAAAAAAAAAACACTTTCTGGTTTCTCATTATTTTTATTATTTGCTGTCAGTGTGAACTAACCTATGGAATGACTTCATTCTTTTATGCGACTGTAGAGGAAGAGGGCAACTAGTGTTACATACTGGTACACTAAGTCCACGAAAAACAAGAAACAAATAAAACTTGATCGGTTTTTTAAAAATGCATGATTTAATTTTGCACTGTTTTTCTTTCCTATTATATATTTGTCAAATGATTACACGTATAGCAAAATTAAAACTTCTTTAAGAAGTAATTATGCACAGAAATTCAGTTGTACAGTTGATGACTACATTCACCCTGAAAACAATTTAAAAGTAGCTTTGCTTGTACATTTATATGATACTTTTTCTCATTGTTTTTTATAAATGTGTAAATGAGATTTGACTGTAATTCTGTGTGAAAAATGAAAATGAAAAAAAATTTTAGTAATTATAAAAAATTATTTAAAGTATCTATTGTGAAACACAATATATGGTACAGGATGCCAATAAAATAAGTTCTCCTGTTAAGTAGTTTTGTTCAAAGGCAAAACTATGTAATTGTTAATGATATATAATAATAAACACCAAAAACTTCTTATGAGAAGTTTTGATGTGTATTATTGAAGCTGTGGAAAGCGAGTTTCTGGAGAAAATTATTATTTTCAGAAATTGTCACCAAGGTAAAAATTGTACTTTAAGCAATAAGAATCTGCAGATTACAGTATTATGACACATTGTTATCATATTTTCATTGAGATTCTAACCTCTATAAAAATGCAAACATAGAGTTATAATAAATATGATAACCCAACGTAATCTGGCAATCATTTGGCATTAATCTAAAACTTGGGTTAATGGATGTTTACATTTAAAAGAAAACACTTATAATGATGATTACTTTGTTCTATCAGAATAATGATTCCACTGCTGTTACATCAAAGCATCGAAGAAACATTTGTTGAACATTAAACTTGAAGGGGGTTGAAGAGCAACTGATAGAGGATGTGGCAACAACATTGGTTGAGGAGAGTGCATGGAACTAGTAGTGTTTGACACATCACAAGATGTTAGTGAAACTATCTTCAACAATTCACAAAATTGTGTAAAATATACACTTTCAAAACTCTTACAAAAACATAATGTTTCATGTTCAACAACTTTGGCCTTCTGATTCAAATGTCAGGAGGATATTTGCATTGCAGTTCTTAGCTTGGACTGAGGTAGGGATGATTGACCAAGGAACATTATTTAGATGGATGATTCATTTCCATCTGTACTGTCAACATCTGCAATTGCAGAATATAGGCTAGGAAAAATTCTTATGAAACTGATGAAAAGCTACAGCTTTTCCCAAAGATGACAAGTATAGTTTCATATGTATTTTCATCCTTAAAACTTTTTCAAGAATTTGGATATAGAGGCGTAGTTATATTTGCTAGATTTGACTTAGACCAGTGTTTTTCAATCTGTAGGTCGCGACCCCCAGGGGGTGCAAGGCCTTACATGGGGGGTCGCGAGTAAAAGACAAGTGTTTTTAGGTCCTACACTACAATAAAAAAAACTACAATTTCAGTGAGAAGGCTGTGCCTGGTTATTTTACACTGTAAAATAAACCTGAAAAACCAATTGTACTGTAAATTTTACAGTACAATTGGTTTTTTGATCAATATTTAGCTCTCAATAGAAAGAAAATTAAATACAGTTTTTAAAAATACTGATATAGTTTTAATATGGCCCTGGGGGGTCGCCAGAATTTTTTAACTTGTAAAGGGGTCGCGTATTCAAGAAGGTTGAAAAACACTGACTTAGACAGTCTTGTAAAAAAAAAGCTGCATATGATTACAGGTTAATGAAATGTTGAAATATGTAGTTTATTGATTCTAATAATAATTTAAATGAATAATTTTAAACAGTAACGACATCATTTCTTATGTAAATATAATTGCTAATATTTTGTAATGAATTATACCATAAATATTACTAATTAAACTAACAATATTGAACTTTAAATACTGTCAAGACCATATAAATTTATCAATGAAATATTACAAAAATTAAATTTTAGATAATTTGCATATTACTTTTGAACATTGAAGAATTTATACATATAAATAAGAAATTTTAATTTAAAAATTTTTTACGTTTATTTCAGTACCTTCAATAGATTTAAAAGCATCTGAAGAACAGAGGAGAAGTAAGTAATATTAAAATAGTATTTCTAAAAATTTTTTTCGTGGGATTAATGTTTGCACAATAAGCTATTATTTACTGACATTAAGACCTACATAATTTATTATAATTATTACAAAACTGTGCCATTATTCTGTGTTTATCATTCATACTGGCTGATCCCACTGCATGTCAGTTTTGTCTAATGCATGAAAATATGATTGACCATTAACCAATTAAAAAAACAATATAGTTGCAATACTGGAATTCCACATATATATAATTAAATTTAAAAAGTAATCATTACATGCATAATATTTTGTTATAATATTAGTTACTTTTCAAACTCAAACATTTTCCATGTTATAATAACTTCAGACTTGCTATAAATAAATGTAAAAAAAAGGATTATTATTTTGGCATATTATCATCATCCTATTACAGCAAAACAGCAAGTTTCCTGCCTGAAAATATTAAAATACAATCAGAGATTAGAAATAATAATAGAGATGTGGAAAGAGTGTTAAGGAAAATAATAAAATAATACAAACATCAATATTTTAAGTAATATAAGATTCTTCTACGTTCTTAGCTGCTGCTCTATTGTATTTGTTATTTTTCTTCTGTTTTCGTTCAACCTTCTTGTTGTGCCAGTATAACTCGATACTCTATTTGTTTTGGTTCCTGAAAATGTGTATTGGTTTGAAAATGGTTATACTCTATTATCCATAGGTAAATTATTCCTGAATATGATTCAAATATAGGAAATTCGAATAACAGGATAGCATACTTTTTCTACTATTTCTTACAGGAAAAATTCTAATTCATTAGACTCTCCAAATAACATCAACCAGCTTTCTCAAATGACATTAAATGCTTATGTAAATATATTTGCTAAATTAAGATAACCCAAACAGCTTTTGTGTGGTATCACAAGCTGTTCCAAGTTATATTAGTTTTGTTCTTTGTTTAATAAACACTACTTTAATTACAAAAGGCAACATTTTAATAAAGACACATGAATGACATAATTAGTATGAAACTATAGGAAAAATGCTTATGCTAAGTTATTTCTAGCTTAATCAGTTTTTAATCAAACAGTGAAGAATGTTTAAAATTTAAATGTCAAGCAGCATTCTATATGAAAATTTCAACTGGCATAGGTAAAGGAAGGAGAAAAAAATCAAAAATTAATCCATGTACAGTACAAAGTTATAAAAATTGGATATACAGTAAATCTTAGTCTGTTTTTATAAAACTATCTTTAACTAAGCTGGTTGATATAAAATACATTATTCGTGGCTATGTCATTAAACTTAAAAACAAAAGTTAAAAGTTTTCTGTAAAAATATTTTTGTACAAATACATGAAATTGGTTGCCTTATTATTCATGGCACAACACACTAAAGCTAATTTAAATATAATTTACTTTTTTATAGAAGATCGAGATATTCGTTCTCTGTTTATTCGAGGTTTTCCAGACGATACCACCGAAGAAGAGATAAAAACTTTATCGTCTGATATTATTTCTGTACGTCTCCCAGCAAATAAAAAAAGAAAACGTCCTGGTATGCAAGGAGGGTAAGTTGAAATCTTGTGTGCACAGCAGTTGAAAGAGTACTAATTTAAAAGACTTTTTTTTCCGTTAAATTTTGAAACAAATTTAAAAATTAATTTTTTCTAAATTTTTTATTTTACTTTTTTAACTCTTGTACTTAAAGGATTATCTTTTCAAGTTGAATAATAATTATTTTTTGGACACCGGTGTAATTTCATTTTATGAATATAATTAAAAATGTATACAAGTAATCTAAATTAGGTAATCTTTGGTTAATGGGACACCAGTCATTTTTACTACTATTTTTAGCTAAATCGGTATTTTATTCATAATTCATACATATTTAAAATTATAATGAACAATTTACAAAGGAATAAACTTACCACAATTATTTTTGTTATGAGTATGATATCCAGTTTTAGGGTCTAAAAAGTTTATAGTTGTGGTTTACTTGCAAATGTTCATATTTGGCTTATTCTAACTTGTCTTTTTGGTACACTTTCCAACAGTCTGAAAATATCATACTGCCTTCTTTCATGTTGTTTCATATTGCATTAATCAATGTTTTAGAAGAACTGTCTCACACGGTGACTAAAAACATTCTTTCGATTCATGGCAAATTCCACCAAATATCCAGTGCTGCAGAACAACATGACTGACTACGTGTATATCAACTTTCATACACCTCAATGACTGTTTGCACCATCTAATTTTACAATGGTTTGAGATATTAAAATATTGGTACAAACATAATGCATATAATCATTCCGATCAACAATCGTGCTAGGATTATTTCTTAACTCACCATATAAAATTCCAGTTTCTAGGAAAAAATAAAATTGCAATTTCTTTGTAAGTTGACAATTTCCATATTCTAAAATCCATTTTAAATAAAAGAATAACAAACTGACTAAAAGGAATAATTGCAGCAAACTGAAAAAACATTACTGTATCTAACTTCGAGACACATTGCTCCTACAAAGAAACTTGATTTAAATAACCACATGACGTTGAATGATGCAATTATGAGATGTAGTACTATGCAAAGTAGGTTGAAAATATTTTTTAAAAATGTAATTTTTAACTTTTAATATTATTCTAACTTCAAATTTATAACTAAATAACATAAATAACAAGTTATATGCATAATATACAACTAGAAGTTGAAATTTAACTTTAGCATATTTTTGCATTAGTATAATTGCAAATCATTTTTGATAACAAACATGTATTAACAATTATAGTTTAGTTTCCTAATCGACTTTTATAACTTTTATACAAACTTAAAGAAAAGGATAAATTTGCATTCTAATTAACTTCACATACGATTTAATCTAAAGTAAAGCAAATATTAAGATGTAAACACGAATTGGATTTCATTGATTGACTGGTGTCTCATTAACTGAAGAGTATTCTAAATTAATATATTCTTTCTAATCACAAGTTTAATACAAGATGGCCACTCAACTGTGTAGATTTAGTCCAAATTACATAACATTTTTAAACTTAATTAGACAAAATTTAGTCCAGTAATAAATCTGGCTTGATTCTTTGATAGGTGTAAGTAATAAGAAGTTAGATTTGATTCTTATTCATGAAATGAGATACATATTCCTCTTTAGAACTGTGTTAAAAAAAATTGCAAATTTCTGAAAAACTTGCATAAAAATCATTTTATATATAAAGCTTTACTAATTTCATCCTTTTTATTATTATTATTATTAATGAGAAATACATAAAAAGTAAAACGATTTTTTTATCTCAATTTATTATTACAGATATGCTTTTATAGAATTTAAGAGTGAGAAAATAGCCGAAGATAATTTTTCGGTTCTTGAAAAAAAGAAAATCAGAGGGAAAGAATTGTTTGTTGATTTTGTGGGTGCCAAAAGCAAAAACAAAGCATTTGTAGACAGAACAAAGGAGAGAGATCAGCGAAATATAAACAAACAGAAATTATTTGTTAGCAATATTCCTAACGAAGCCAACATGGAAGATTTGGGGAAAGCATTTCCAGCAGCAGTGAATGTATATCTTAATTCAGGTGCAAACAGGTAAGTTAATGCTTTTGATGTTTCGTATTTTAATTTGTAATGGAACAAAATGTTTTGTTTTTGCATAATGAAAACTTACATTTTATTGTGAAATTCAAAGCAGAAACTATGATTTGTGTGTCTTTTCAATTAATTTTTCTCTTATTTCATCCATATTGGTCAATCCTATTGTGGATCAGGACATCCATAATGGGTATAATTCTGGTTAGCTGTTTAACCTAAATTCTCTTGTCTTGTAGAATTTAATCATTGAATCAACCATTTTGGTAAAAAGTTTTATATAAGGACAAGTTAAAGTTACATAACTTCTTTATTTGTGCTATTGTACTGAATGTAATTATCAGAAAATAATCCAAACAAAACATTTTCCAAGAGTGAACATTTAGCTATTAATAATAAGTTTTGGAATAATTGAATTTAAAATAAAACATTTTCAATTGAACTTTGATATAATCCTGATTTGAGCTTTAGAAAACAAATTTTTGTTTTCATTTAAAATTATTACTTTGAACTGTAGTTTCAAACTGATTATTAAGATTACTGTAAAATGTTTGAGTACACAAAATAAATTTACAAATGTTATTTATATATTGCCACAAAGTTGAATGATTTGAAAACAGAAAAATTAAGTACAGTGGTGCTTTGTATAACGTACTTAATCTGTTCCAGGTGCATGTCCGTTAAGTGAAAAGTTTGTTATGCAAAATGCATTTTTCCATAGAAATACATGTTAAAACATATAATTTGTTCTGCAGCATAAAATAACCATACTGTATCATTAAAAAAAAATGAAAATGGAGCAGTTGCCAATTATGCCAGGTAGTCAGATGTTGTGAGGACATGGAGGAACACTTTCTTCACACATTTGTACAGATACAGACTTTACACATTGCCGCAGGTCTCTTTATTATTTTTTAATTGGAGTCAGATTCAGGAGAGGCTACCGGGGCTTGCAGGGTCAACTCCTCTTGTTCTATCCTTTGTTTTTTGGCAGCTGGCTTCTTGAAAAACATGTCCAAGATGGTCTGTTTCTCTCTCTTCTTCAACACATGTCGAAAATGACGGGCAAGGGTGTCATTGTAGAGATCATTGATCCTGTTGGCCTCAGCTCTGTTTGGATAATGAGTGTTGGTAAACTCCTGAACCTCTCCCTATTTGACAAGGAAGTTTTTGTCAACTTTCACTCCTTCTGATGATGTCTTGCTTTGTTTCAATTGAAATCACCTTTCTTTGTTTCAATTGAAATCACCTTTCTGTTGTGCAAACCATGGCTTTAGAAGCCATGATTTGCACAACACTTGAATAAATGTAAATACCCTGCACTGAGGTGATATACATAATAAACAAGGGAGCAAGCCTAATCTCAACGGGAGCTCTTTACTTTAAATATACTGATAATATATTTTAATAATACTGTACTAATATATTATAAAAATAGCAGATTGTCATTGGCAACGGCAAAAGAGTGGAAACATCATTCGCACTTGTTCACAGAAAGTCTGTTGCTCGAGTCACGTAACGGCCAAACAATCTTTAGCAGGTGATTTTTATTTTATCATGTATAGTATATCAAGCACCTACAAGTATATGTAATTAGATCTTTAGCACTTTTTAGCAAAACAAAAGAAACAAATGTGTATTTTTCTCCACATATTTTATTTCTTTGAAATTTTTTTAAGTATGAAAATTAAATTTCTAGGAAAACTTGTAGAACTAATGTTGTTTGGCATTAAAAATTGTAAATGAAAATGTTTTGAGCCTAGAATCCATATTTTAAAGTTACAAAGCACTGTGAATTGTATGATCCTGTATTGTGGTTGCATCAGTTAACGTTCAGAATGCGTTATAGCTTTTCTTAACCCTTTACATGCGATCTATCTACAGAAAAAAATTGAATGGAATCCGTCGTGCGGCGCATTTTTTGAATTTTTGGATAATTTTTTTAAATCGAGATATTTCGCTTCAAAATCGCGCTATATTTAATCTGTTTTTTGTGTTTGATTAAAAACATATTGCAGTTTACGATTGTTTAATTTTTAGTTTAATACAAATTTAAAATAATATTAAAATTTCGACGTTCACGAACAATAGAAAAAAAAATTAATTTACAGAGATTCGCTGAACTTTGTACATCTGTTCGTTAGACACATCTGTCTTCTTTTAAACAAAACAAACCGCAGCTCTCTAGCTAAAGCGGGGGAGAAGTTATTGCCATTATTTACACTACGTCTCTAATTACCCTGCGGGGAGAGGGGAGTGGGGAGTGGCTCGGGTATTTGTAGGTCAAAGATTATCAACATACTTTTATAAGAGTGAATATTTGACACTTTTTACATATTTTTTCAACGTTTTATATAATAATAACCTATAATAAATGATTAGTTAATTTTTTCCTGCGATTACGCAATATCCGGAAGTAATGAGTTTCCCGGAAAATTTTTCAGCTGGAAGATTTTGATAAAATATCTTCTTGTCTAAATAGAGTCAAATAACATGAAAACTAGAAAAATTACGCTTTAAAATAATGAATATAGCTATTTTTTAACGTTTGTTTACATAATAACTTTAATCACGTGGATTGATTCTTCGCGGGAAAATCCAGACTACATGTTCTGAAAAAAGCTCTCATTCGTTAAAGTTAAATCAGTTATAATATAAATGACCAATTAGAGCGTAATAAGCGTAGAAACAAAAATTTTAAAGCCAATTAACAGGAAGAACGTCTTCCATAGACTTACTATAGAGAGGTGGAGCTTCCCGGGAATATCTCTTGCTAGATAGTTTTAAAAACATATTAATACTATTAAATATTGTCGAATTAGCTAATTTAATGTCTTAAAACGTTAAATTAGTTAATTAGAGCTAAAAAAACGATTTAAAAAGCGAATTTATTGTGATTGTTTACATTTTACTTCGAAGGTTGGAGGCGGGACTTTTCGCGGCAATTTTTCCTTTCACAAGTCTCTGATTAGTTACAGTAATGTCAACAAAGACAGAAGATACCCAATAAAACTTTAGAAGGAGTTTCCCTTTGATTGTTTTCAACAACTGTCTAGTTAACTTCGAAGATTTACTGTAAATAGTAGGGGAGTGTTTTTCCCGAAATATTTATGGCCCAGGGGTGGTGACAAAACGCTTATTGGCTTAAACAAAGTCAATCGACCTACAAAAGAGCGAATCATAGCTAAAATCGCAAGAAAACTCGAATATAACGCGAATTGTTCAATTTTTTAATTAAAACCGCGGAAACGCGGTATCAGCATCTCATTTTTTATAGGTGGTCACGTGATCCCGCGGTTTCCGCAGGTGTAGAGTTAATCACCACAATGTGAAGTGGTCAAATATGAAAGCCACAACACAAATTTCACTTTGTAACCGTTTTTACAACTGCCAAGATGCGAATTTCTCTTCATGGCCGTTTTGAAACGACCACAATGCGCTGTGGTAATTTTTTTTTGCTCAATGAGTGATTTCGGTCTTTGAGCCTAATGTATATACACACACCAAATTAAGTGGGAAAAAACAGAATCAAAACAAGCATAATGTAAGAAGAGATGTTTTTGCAGAAAGAATAAGCTTGAGTGTACAACAAGTGGGATTTATGCATTTGTGCCCCTTTTCTCAGTGCGGACTTACTTTTTTCCGCTTCAGAGCGCAAGTGTGTGCGAGTTCTATCTACAGCACTTTTCTCTCGTTGGTGAGTTGGTTTCTCTTCTATTTTTAAGTTTCTAAGGTGAGTGGTGAGGAAAACCTTCGTCCTAACAAAACATAAGCCCCAAACAAAATAGAATAAAAGCAAAAATAAAAATAACGCTCTGACTTGGTTCCTTACACCATGATTGTAAGGATGGCTTTAACAAAGCTTATAATATCTATTCTCTTTAAGTTAACCATACGTTAAGTTTGTGTTCATTTGGATTTCTTGTGAGTTTTAGTGTAAAGGCTTTTAAACTAATAATAATCCCTTTTTGTTTTTCTTCCTTTTTACCAGAACTGCTCAGATTTCATTTGATAGTGAAGAAGCTGCAGCTGAAGCTTTTAAAAAGAATTCCTCCTTGAAAATAAAAGGAACTCCAGTTGTTGTTTTATATGCGCTAATCAACAGTAAGCATCACAATAAGGGAAAAGGCGGAAGAGGTCAAGGTTCTCCAAGAAGACCGTTTCACCGAGGACAAGGTAAGAGAGGAATTATGATTAGTTAAATAATTTTAAACAAAAGTTAATGCTTTGATCATTTATATAACTTGACATTTATGTTTACGTTTTAGGATTTAGGAAGTCTTTTAACAAGCAGAGGAAGCCATCAAAACACAGTTTTGACGATGAAGACGACGATGAATAACTCTTTCATCTTTCATTAATGTCATTACTGCATTTTGTCTATTCTGTATGTGTAGTTGTTTATATGTGACAACACATCCATAAACTCTGAAATTATTGTAACATTTAAATAAAAATCTTTTTATCAAACATTAGTAATTTTTTTAAAATATAAATTACACAACTTAATACAATATACGGGGTTCCTATCTACTTGGAAAGTAATTTTATTAAAACATATAGCTTTACCGTTGTTGATTAATAGCAGAATAAATACTTTTATTAAATAAAACATTTTTTTAAATTTTAATAATTCTGTGATTATAAAAAATAAGTAACTGTTAATTAGAAAAAATAACTAATTAAAAAGTTAGAGAAGGAATAGTGTGAGAATCCAGACTTCAACATAAATAATTTAACATCTTAACATCAACTTTGTCAACTATCTGTCAGCTTTCACACCTGGTAGTATATCTTTTAAGTTATAAGCATTGCTAAAGATGCTTTCACACAACCTTCTGATCTGTTCTGATTTCATCATTTTAATGTAATACCAAACAGGCAGTCAAGGTAGTTGTCATCAGTCCCTCAACAGTGACAGTCGTCACCAGTTACTCAACTGGACCACTCATTTTCCATGCCTCAAATTTCGGATGTTATTTTATTATACATTTGGATATATTGTTATATCAGTGGATAACTCATTCTATTATATCTGATGATACATTGTTTTATTTATCTCTACAGTTACATTATCCTTCTTGCCTACAGCTACATTATCTATTGTTGACACCCGAAATAAGAACTATCATCTAGAACTTCCTTTCAATCTAATCGGCAAGCATCCGATCTCCATCCTCTACAAGGTATTTATCCTCGTGTGAATCTTGTGAACTCTCTTGTGAAAAGCGACAGCATCTATACCTAGTGTAGTTTGTTATATTATAACCTGTTAACACAAATGTATATTAAGTATTCTCCTTTTACAAATAAACGGTTATTTAGTTGTTAACTTAGTGTTCAAGTGAATCACTTCCAATTTGCTGTCTCTCCATCTCCATCCGGAACCCAATTGCTCGCGTGACCTACTTTTAAAAATAAACCAACTCCATTGCGGTTTCCATGTCAAATGAGACACTGGTGTCACTCCTGATGAGGCATCAGAAGTGCCAACCCTCCAATAGTGTGTGTGTATTGTAAGTCAAATACAGTTTTATAACTATTCCACAATATAAAATTCATTAAATTTTTATATTGGCTAAAAAACCTTTATAAAATTATTTGCAAAGCAGCAAAATCAATTTATTTTACACTAATAATATTTTTGCTTTTGATATTAAATCATGGACTAGAGAAAAAATGAGATTAAATCATTTGAATTTGTATCAAATTAGATTTGTGTAAAATATATTAATATTTGAAAACACTAATTCTGCAATAAAGTTATATTGTAATGGATGGTGGTCTTAAATACTTTGAATCTGTCTTAATAATTAAGCTCTCATTTCAGATAAGATGAGAGTTTTGATGGAAATGTAAAGAAGGTGCTAGTTTATTTCTGATAAATAATATGTACCCATAGAATTATCTTCCAATGTCATAATAAATTTGTATAGTAAATTATGTGCACTTGTGTCCAAAAAATAAGCATAACTGCCCAATCCATAAAAAGAAGTCCCGGGTATAAGATATAGAATGATTATTTTATTAGATTACAATCTGGAGAAGGGGACCGTGATACATTTGCATGAACATGGAAAGAAACTAGTTTGGAGGTGATGGTATTATGGTCTGGGATATCATTATGCTTAATGGCTGTACTCAGCTGTTATTGCAGGAAGGCAAACAAGACAAGGCTGTGAATTCAAATTTTCCAAGGTATGGTGCAGACTTCATTTTTATGGACGACTGCCTATATATGAGGACTTTATCTGCCAATGACTCTTTACTGAAGATATTGCATAAAATGATCTCTGGACCTAATTTCTACAGAACGTGTGAGATGCTCTAAGGAGATGAGTTGCAATTTATAGCCTCCACCAAGAGCTTCAAAATGGTCTTGTTCAAAGAGCTATTAAACAATATTATAACCACATGAGCAATTACTGTGCTGTGTGCATACTTGTCACATGCCATAATCACATTCTATGCAAAAATTTATGGAAATGATACTTGTTTTTGGTTACATAATTTAGATTAAATTTTTGTTTTTCAATTGTTTTCCTACATAAAGAATGCAATGCTGTAAAAATATAACGTAAACAAAATACTAAAAATCCAGCAAAAGAAACTAATGTTTTGACAGCTTTTAACAAATTGTCGTTAAATTACGACCATTCTAAAAAGGAACATATAAAATGAACAATAAAATTGTAAAACAAGGCGGCATCTGATTGGTTAATGAAGCAAGCATGAAAATTGGTGTTAAATAGAAAAATTGATTTACTGGATTTCAAAAAAGACCGTCATGCTTGCAAAAGGATGTTATTATCCTTGTAATTAATTGCTATGTCCTTTCTGCATGCTTTGTGTACTCCAGTTGATGCATATCTTGTCCCAGGTGCATTTGAACTTGATTGTCACTAACACAAGCTGCCAAAGTGTGTTACTGACCCTTTTTTATTAATGTTAACCGTTCTTTTAATCAATGGCTAAAGGAACAAGCTATAACCCTATATTTCAACCGTTGGCCAATTCTGTTGTTTGGTTAGAATTCAAACAAATATTCAACAAGCATTCCATTATACGAACTTTCCGACAAAGACCAGAAGACGTTAGAAAAGTAATAATTTTGACAACAACCGGAATAATTTTTGAGGTTAATGAGATTTTATTTGACTATTGTCCAGTGGGAATGGAATAAACCCCAGAAGACGACATTTATCACCAGGATCCTTAGCATTTCAGCCACAAAATTTTCTCAAGGTGAGAAGGTTCCAGTTTTCCCACCTTGTTAATGTCTTTAGGATTATCATCACCAGGAAGATTATAAGAATTATGAGTAGTCAAAATTGAATTTTGCAAAAAAATGCTTTGAGGAGCATATTGTGATGTTACTGAGAGGTGTTTATATAAAAACTGGAGTTTTCCCGCTTGAAGAGGGGATGTTTTAATCTCAAAGTGCATAGTGAATAAAAATTTCTTTTGTCAACTGAACTTTGTAATGAGGCAAACTCGGGTTTAATGTTTGATAGTCTTAACTGGAACATCTGTAGGTTTTTCTATATTTATATAAGATTACCAGTGATTTAGTTTCTAAATTGTATGTAAATTTTTTAATTAAATTTCTAAGAGCTTTGATTCTCTCTGATTTTTTATGATTTGAAGAACAGATGAACTCTGTAATTTTATCATTTGTATCCTCTGCTGGGAGAAATTCTAAACTTGCTAATTTTATGATATTCTAAACTCAATAGAAATTTGAAGAAACAAACAGAATTAAAGATAATTTTTTATTTGTGCATCTAACGATACACAAACAGAAAATAGAGAAAGTTCAAGATATAATTGAAGCGGACATGAAGGAAAAGGAGTTGAGGACAGATAATGATTGCAATCAGATACAATGGAGAGAACTCATCAAATTCAGCAGACCCCAAATAAAATGGGACAAGTTGCAGAAGAGGACAAATGTATGTAAGTGTAACAATGTCTATTGTATTGCAATCTTTAGAATAATGTTTTAATATAGAATATAACGAAAAAAAATGATTAATTTGCAAGCAACAAAAATATTCTTAATGCAACATGATTGATAGTTTCTAGTAATAAATTGTGATGCAGGTATTATAACCCTGTATATGTTTATATTATTTTTCACTCTGGACTGAACATTTATTTTGTTCAATAACATGTAATGCACTATTTTTTAACTGAACATTATGTATTATAAGCATTACAAATTTTATGCAAAGATTTTGTTTTAGAACTTTAACATTAGATATTTAAATCTTAAACTTTGACTCAAACATACTTTTGATGCAGTACATTTTATTTAAGAACAATATATATACATATATTTATAAGCATTTTATATAATAACAATTCTTGGCAATAATTGACATAGAAATGAATAAAATAAGCATAACTACTAATGCTGGAAATAATAAATTACAATAACAAGTTAAAAATTTTAATTTTATATTAATTTATAAAGGGTTTGTACTTTCTAAAATTTTACACGTCATTTCTGGTCCTGCCAGAGTATAATGAATCCATTTATGCTTTGATATAGATTTAAAATTTTGTATAATCAATATATAAATTGTGTTCTCAAGATTTTCTGCTCATGAATTTAGTTAAATGTACAAATATATTTCAAATATTTATGTCATGGATATGTATATAATTTTTTGCAATGTAACATTTTAATATTTATACATAGATTTGGAGAGGGAATATGAGATTTTTACAACAAAAATTTAAATGCATTACTAAACATCCGACAGACGAAACTTGGATGGCTACGTTGTGACCCCGTCGAAGTTCCATGTTTGGACTCATTCAGATCTGATAATTTCGAAACTTCTGCAAAACTTCATTTCCAGGTTCTCTCTCCCAGGTAATGTTTTCTGTCTGCAGTATTGAAAATGTAGATTTCTGTTGGTCAGCTGTAAATAGAATTAATAATTCAGAGTATGAAAATGTTTTTAATTATTTGATTCTTTAACGGTTGTATTAGCAACCAAGGATCAAGAGTTAAAGTTAAACCAATTATTATATTTACTTTTTACTTTTCGTATGTGAATGCTTATTGGTTACCTTGTGACTCTTGATTCTTGTTTGTAAATATGACTGTAAAAGATGTATTAAAGTTATAGTATTAATGCTGACAATATAAAATAGATCATTGGGTAACTATTCTTTGTCTTAAGTTTTGCTAATACCTTCATGAAAGCAGACATTATGCAGCCTACAAAAACAATTGAATTATATATGAAGTATTCAATCATTTATTTTTATAATTATTTATCTAAATATAGTGGTTTATGTTATTGCACATAGATTTTTAATGAAAATAAGTTTAAATGTATACAGTAGTAAATGATCATTGTTTATACCAGGGATGGCCAACACGTAGACCGCGGTCGACTGCAAAGGTTTTGAAAGTAGTCCGCGAAGCTAAAGTTGAACAATTTGCTTTCACTTAAATTAATGTTTAAAAATCTTAATTCGATAATTTATTCTTACAATAATGACTGTGTGTGCAACGTACCCATACTGTTTGTATTTATCCCGATGAACAATGCAAATGAATGTTAACGCATACACATATAAAAATCCTAAAATTGTTTGCCCATATTCATAGTCGCCTGCAGACTATATTTTACCAAAAAAGTAGCCCCTAAGGGATAAAAGTTTGGCCACATCTAGTTTATACATTTCTTAAGGAAATGGACCAAAAAGATGTTTTGATTTAAACTTTGATTATATACCACAAGGTGACAGAACTAATCGCTTGCCATAAAAAAAAAAACAGTATTTGAGCTTTTAATGAACATTTTTAATTATAGATCATCCAGAATACTAGTTGAATATATAAATTTTAGCAAATTTTCTCAGGACTTTATAACAACTCTTGCAATTGCAGCCCATCTTTTCCTTATCCTTAAGTATATGCAATTTACATATAGGAATGTGAAGATAGGATAAAGAAATGTGCTCTAAAAATTGTGAATATGTTTATAAAATAAAAATGATATTTATTATCTTTACCAGAAAAGAAACTGTATGTAAATGAAATGCATAATGAATTTAGACTTATAAACAAAATTGGAATTAGAGAAGTTGAAGTAGAAAGATTTGCATAGATCTTTAATATCCTAAAATATGATTACAATTTTATAACAAATTTAAAATCATCATCTGGCATTAATCAGATCATCAGAGTTTTTAGAAAGATTTTTCCAATGTTTTTGACCATTAATTTAAGAATAAAGATGAAGGATAACATAAAAATTTTTGCATCATATATGAGGATCATTTTTAAAGTAAGAATTACTTGCACATACCATGTTTCCCCGAAAATAAGACAGTGTCTTATATTAATTTTTGCTCTGAAAGATGCGCTAGGTCTTATTTTCAGGGGATGTCTTATTTTTTCCATGAAGAAGAATTCACATTTATTATTGAACAAAAAAATTCCAAAGTCGAACTTAGACAAGAGTGACATATATCCGGTCGTGTCGAACTGAACTTAAATAAAACCGAAGTGAACTTACAAAGTTTCCGTGCTGGAGTGGACTTCCTACTCTCGCTTCAACTTAACCTTTTTATAGTGTCGACATCAGGCTCGATGACCAATTAGTGCTTACTGAACCTTAACACTATGCAAATGTGATGTGGCGTGATTCCCGGCCGACCAATTAGCCATCACCAGCCATAACGTTATGCAAATCTGTGATACCCAAGCCATAGTTTTATGCAAAGCATGCCGTGTGGCGTGAATGTCTGCTGACCAATCAGTGGCTGTACTTTCAAAAAGTCAACGGCCACTTTCAACCATCTGGCAATGACCGTTACGAGTAAAAAAATACTTTGCTAAGTCTTACTTTCGGGGGAGGCCTTATATTTAGCAATTCAGCAAAACCTATGCTAGGTCTTATTTTCGGGGAAACACAGTTCTAACAACTCAAGTCAATGCTTTGGATTGCCACCTGGTGGGAAGCGTGTTATGACATCAGTTGGTTCTGAGTTCTTCAGTGCATCACAAACAATGTTGATTCCTGCATAATGTTCAATCCTGCTAATCTAGAGGTGCAATTGGTTTTTAAATGCAAAAACATTTGTCCAGCTGAAATTCATTAACAGGCAATTAAAGTGTAAGGAGACAGTGTAATGAATAAGACAAATCAGCAGAAATGGTGTCAGTTATTCAATGAAAAGAGAACAAGTACCCCGATAATGCAAATCATTATGTTGCTCAAAACAGTTGCAAAAGTTTTGGTGTGAGGTTTGGGTATATTATATATAATTGGGTATATATATAATATATAATAATTTGGGTATATTATATGTCCAGACTATCTAGTCTGGACATGGTGCTCATCTTTTCTTGAAATTAAAGTAATTTTGAATGGAAAACACATGTAGACTGATGATGACATCCATGAGACTGTCATCAACTGGTTCAAGGAACAGGTAATAAATAGTTCTTCAACAAGGGAATCATCAAGCTCATCTCCTGATGTCAAAAATGCTTGCATTTCATTGACATTATGTTGAAAAACAGTTTATGACATATTTTCATTTTAAACACAAGGATGATGAATTACAATAAATTGTTATCACCTTATGACAAAATGATTCTAATTTTAAAAAAAATCTTTGTAAATGTACACTCATTGCTATAAAAATTAGTGCACCAAGAAGGAGTTGTTGTACACTGCAAAACTTGGAATGCAGATAAGTCTCAAGCAGATATGAAAACAATTAGCATTATAGTACAATGGCTTATTGCATAATGCCAGCAGAAGGCATTAAAATGCACCCTTCTTAGCCTAAATAAAAAAACTCACAAAGGCATCCTGTCTGTAGTTTACCTGTTACAGAAGGATGCTGTATCACTACAGATGCCTTTACGTTGCAATAAAGACCATACGAACAACTAACCAAGTTTGAGAGGAGAAGGATCATCAGGTTGAGAGAAGCCAGATGGTCATCTCACTAAATAGCCTATCACATAGACCATTCTGACAACACTGTGAGGTGGTGTTCGGACCAGTGGACAAGAGAGAGCTTGCACATACGGCACCCAGGCTCAGGATGCCCTCAGCAGACCACTAGCCGAGAGGACTGCCTGGTCCTCCAACAAGTATGCACACAGTCCACTATATTGTTGTCTGCCATCTGGCCACAGGTGGCACCATCATTACAGGCCCCTTTGTCTGTCTGTACCATTTCAAGACATCTGGGTGAGGAACATTTGGTTCACAGCAGCCATCCACCATTGCCTCTATTTGGAGTGATGTCATTCCCAATGGAATTGGACCACAATGGAATGGAACTAGGTCCTATACAGCAATGAGAGATACAATTTGGGCATTGACAATGGCTGTGTTCATGTTTGGAGCAGCCATGGTGAACGCCTCAATCCTGGGGACAGTGTGCTGCTCTATGCTTTGGAGCAGCACATTGTCCCCACAACTGGTGTGATGGTTTGGGGTGCCATTACATATGACAGTGGTCACCTCTAGTAGTGATCCATGGGACCATGACAGCCCAGCAGTATGTTGATGACATCCTGCAGCCATATGTGTTGCCTCTCATGGCAGGGCTCCCAAGAGCCATTTTCCAACAGGACGATGCTTGACCACAAACAGCAAGATTGTCACAAGACTGCTTCTGCCACATTGCCACATTTTCCTTGCCTGATCGGTTCCCTGCTTTGTCAATGATGGAACATGTCTGGGAACACCTGGGACACTAAGTTCAACAGCCTAGGAATTTGGCCAAACTAAAGGACCGCTTGCAATAATTGTCGACTGAGATGTTGCAAGACACCACAAGGCACCTGTATGCCTCCATGCCCATCCGTATCACATTGTGTATTCATGATAGAGGTAGCCCAACAGGGTACTAGAACTTCCTTTCATTTGTAGTTTTTCCTGCAATAAATGATCCTTTTGCTTTCAATTTGTAATCACTTACTTATATTACCATTACATTCAAATATGTACAATTTCATTCAATTCCAACAACTCCTTCTTGGTGTGCTAATTTTTATGGCAGTGAGTGTATTTCCATATAAAGATAAATCTTAGAAAGAAACTAAATATTTTATGTTATTTAGGTAAGAGGATATTTATATTTATGTACTATAATAGCTAATTTTAATGTTTTTGAAATTTATTGATGTTTGTATTATAGAAATAGTTCCATATAAGTTTAAATTGCTGATCATTTAGAATAATTCTTAACGTAATCCTTCTTGAAAAGGTTAGATAAACATTCAAGTTTTTGAATATATTTAATGATCTCTATTACTTGCTAAGAACATCTTGTATTTTGTTAGAGTAAATTTTAGTAAAAAGATTAAAATTTCTTACCATAAGATTTTTTATCAGCTAATTTACTTTCAGAATCACATTTATGATCCAGCATCAAGTCTTTCTGTTTCTTGCAAGCCCAGTGCATTGACTATATTCAAAATAAGACAAAAAAAAATACAATTATTTTATTTTATATACATATATTTATCTTTTAGATGAAACTTACACAATGATTATCTTTACTCAAATTTCGCCATTGATCGAAAGGTATCGTCAGCCCACTTCTTTTCCACATGTCATATTGTTTCCTTGTCGTAGGCTCTGTTAAAATTTCTTTGGCTCGTTGCAATCTTTGAAATCGCTCGACTAACCGAAAATATATAATCATAAGATTTATTTTAATGATAAAATTATATAAGATAAATATTTTTGAATATGAATCTTAAAAGAAATTAATTACCTGAATTTGGATCATCTGGATTTTTATCTGGATGATAATCCAAAGCTTTTATTTTAAATTCGGAAATAATTTGTTCCTCCTTAACAATTAATTATTTGTTTTTTTTAGTAAATTCAATATAGATTTTAAAATTCTCAAAACACACATAATATAACAAAATTAATTTTCAAAAAAGAATAAATTATTCCGAAAAAATATTTCAGAAATTCATATTGAGAACTTGGCCGAGGAGAGCTAAGAATTTTTCCCTGGACTTACTTTTCATTCAACATATTTTGTTTGTAATTTGTAACTTATAGTTATTACAAGTGTTTTCAGGATATGTAGGAAAAATGGCTACTCAAAATGTTCAAACTGACATGGAGAAAGAAGTGCGCACCAGAAAATTGGACGAGAGAAATCATAATATCATATTTAAGAAAAGTTACAGAAGAGAACATAATAATTATAGAGGGATTACACTATGATGTCATTGTATTAAATTCTTTAAAAGAATTTTTTAGACAAAAATTAGAAACTTAATAGAATAAATTTAAAGAGATGCACACAAGAAAGAATGATGATAAATTTCATTTTCCAATATAGAAGATTTGGAAACTCGGTGGAAATTTGGGAAATGACTTATAGCAGCTGTTTTGGTAACATTAAGAAAGACTTGAAAAAAATTAAATTGATAGAGAAATAGTAACATTATAATAAGGAACATGTACAGAATATAAAAAAGAAAAGAAAGTGTGGATATTCAGATTGGCTGTAATTTAGTGTCTTGTTTCTTCTTTCTCTATAGTATTCCCAGTTTCAGTTTTTGATAAGTTTTTAGTAATTAACAATAGAGATATTCAGATTTGTTTGAGTTGATGAATGGACTCATAAACTAGATATTCTGTCTCCATTTCTGGTTATTACAATGATGAATAATATTTTAGAGTTGATTGAAAATGGAGAAAATGCAGAATATTTTTCAGACGATGTAATAATTTGGGTATATTATATGGAAAAAAACAACAAATGGGTGAGAGAAACATGATGAAGAATGCAATAAAGATTACTATGCAAGAGAGTGAGATGGTGTTTACAGATAGCAGAGTTTATCTTCAGAGTATGGGTGAAATGTTGAAGGAAGTAGAAATATATATGAGAAAAAGCTCACAGAGGATGGAATTCTAAACAGAAATTACCAAATCAATATCTTCAACTCATGGCTTTTCTTTTTTTATCAGACTATATGGGTAATAGAACATAAGTGAAGGGAATGAAAATGTAAAGGACAATGAAAGGAAAAATTAAAAAACAGGTTAAGAAAAAAAGAGAAGTAACAGCTCAAAAAACACACACAGTCTGACAGACAGAATGAGAAAGACATGTTTGAAGTGGTTTGCAGAAGTGAAACAGTTAAGACAGGAAAGATAAAGATACTAAAAGCATTGTAAACAATAAAAGAAAAGGGAGAAGAAGAGAAGGGATCATATAAATGATTTGAAAGAACGGGGAAAGATTAGATGGTTTGTAAAAGAATGAGAGAGAAGAAAGATATTGTAGAGACAAGAAAGCAGTGGTGCACCCAGAGGGGTTCAACATTTCACCCAATCTCTGAAGATACACTCTGGCACCCTCCAAAGAAAGAAGCATCCAAAAGGAAAGAAGCATTAAAAAATTTTTCAAAAATCTTTTCCTAATTAATATTCCTTTTTTATTTATATCATGTTGTGTCTTCTATTTCTATACTACTAATAAATTAGCAATCACATAGGTGGAAATTTTATTAAACTGACATAAAAAATATTTTAATCTGTTTAACTCCGTTCTCCCCAAGGTTAAATACCAAGTGCGTCACTTCAAGAAAGAATGAAAGTGTAGCAGTATACTATTCTGTTGAGTTCTTGGCAATGAAAAAAAAAAAAGAGGAAGGAATTACAATGACATTCAACAGGTGGGTGAAATTTATTTTACACTAGTCATATACATCATACGTAGTTCCATACAATTCCCAAAAACTTAACACGACCAACTATCATACGACTTCATAATAGTACGACCGGTAACGAACCGAAGGGAAAAAAGCTGTCAACCCCAAACCAATTGTACTTTTAAATGTCGGGCATATGTGCTCCCTTAATTTTTGCTTATGTTTTTAATTTTATTTACAGAATATCACTACAAAGGGCTCTTATCAATCTGATCTAACAAAATGTTGGAATACAAGGAAATAAATATAATGATGACCTTGAAACATTAATAATTTATTAACTGGAAAAGACCTCCAATATAGCTTAATTTTCAAATTCTACTTGAGTAATATAATACAGATGTAATAGGCTTATAAAATTACGATGCACAAATTAAAAATAATAGCGATTTAAAACATATTTTTTCTAACTAGAGATTGTATGTTTTAATATTCATTCTACCATCATTTCGACGCCATGTTTGGAAAGGAAGCACGCTTTCGCCATTATCTCCGCATGCTAATCACATAACTGATAATCGCTGTGAAGAATGGAAACGCAATGTCATCAATTATTTTACACGTGATATTCTCTTGGATCAGGCAAGCAGAAATAGCGTCAACGCACGTTGTAGGCACATTTGCCATTTCAAACATGGCGTCGAAGTGACGGTAGAACGTGTTTAAAACACACAGCATCGTATTTATTTGTAAAAAAAAAAATTTAAATCGTCATTATTTTTAATCTAAACGTCGTAACCACATAAAACTATTTATTATACACGTATCGGTACATATTATTTAAGTAGCATTCGTATATATTTTATTGGTCGTCCATATTGAAATACGTGAAAAATAATAATCGTCGTTAATAATCCATCTAAACAGACATTAAATAATTTTGTGACGTAGAAAAGTACACGTGTTCTCTACATCAAAACAAAATAATAAATTTCAAAAACAAACAATCTGTACGTGAGTTAATGATAAATTTCGATTTACAGCAATAAAATAGCGTGTCATGCAAATGTTTATATCAATTTAACAACTAAATTTACCGAGGAATTTTCATCACATCCTAAAATACTATAATAATCGTCATTCGAGTCTTTCTTATACTTAAAAATTTCATCCATGATTGTTTACACCACGTTAGCACGTTTGATATACTTTCGCGGTAGATCTTACGATTTAAAAATAAATAAATAAATAAATAAATAATAATATTATTATTATTATTATTATTCGTTCAATAATGTATCTCTACTTATATAAAAGAGTGCTTTCGAACTTAAATTTCGTGGTTTTTCANTTAAAATTGAGTTGGCAACACTGAAAGTAGTAGTTACAGCAGACTACCAAGGTTAGTAAATACCTTCGTCCTATTTAAAATTTTTTAAACGTATTTATAAATATTCGTAAATAATTAAACGATTTTTTATTTTTATTGGTATTGTAGGATCGTTATTAAGAGTTTTAATAAGGAAAGCCTACGAAATTATGAATTAATGTATTAAAATGTTATCGGTAAATTTAGCGATTTTCTGTTTCTGATAGGAAAATTTCCCTAAATTTATAAATTTGAGATTCGTTTTCCCTAAAAATTAGCATTTTTGGGGAGGTTTTTCCCTTTACCGATGTAAAGTTAGCACATAGTTCCCTCTTTCTAAATTTTGAAGTGTTGGAATTTTATCTCGGCAGATTTAATTTTTGAGAGATTTGAAGATTTTAAAGTAATTAGATATTTCACGACATGACATTCAGTTGATTTGAAAGTCGATGCTCTTCCCGTTTGAATCGCATTGACTTTTAAACCAACCAAATGACACAAAGTATCCGATTATCTCGAAGCCGATGCGAATCTTTGCCTCGGCAAACAGAGCCGAAAATGCATCCGTGACGACGAGGCTGACAGTCAGATGTCTTATGAGAAGGGATCTTTCCATATTAAAAACATTATTAGACTTTAGGTATAATACTGCCTTCTCCAAGCGGTAAACTTAAAATGTTGGTCGTGCTTTAGTGCGGTGTTTTCAATTGCGGGTTTGCTGTAAATTGTTGGGAGTAGGGATGGACCAAATAGAGGTTTTTGGCCAAATACTGAATAATTATTCAGTATTTGGCCAAAAACCTCTAATTATACAGCTGTAGAATTAGGTGGAAGGCAGCATCTTCCATTCAATAATAAAGATAAGTTTTTAAAAATAAAAAAATGTGTAATTACAGAGTACCAACCCAAGGAGAGGGCCATCGGTGGCATGTCATGGTTGGAGAATGGGAATGGATGGGAAGCATTGCCCTATCCACCCATGCTTCTGATATAATGTTCAAAATATAAATTATCTCAATATCAAATTACTTAAAAATGTTTTTGTTTCATTAAACTTTTTGCTGGAGTTTATTTCTAAGCTGTGAATTTATCATCTCAGTTTTAATCTAAAATAAATTCTGATGTTTTTCAAATTATTATATTACTAGGGAACTTTACCTCTGCTTGCTTTGTTCGCTTCTTTAATTAAAAGTTTTGTGACAATTTATTGATTTTCCATGTCACTATTTTGTATTTATTTTTCTTTTTTTTGTGATGGAAAAACATAGCATGATGATTTTAAGCTAAGTATTTTATATACAAGTTGGTTCATTTTAATAATCAATTTCATCATAGATGGCACTACAATTTATGAAAATGGATCAACATCATTTTCTTAAATGGAAACTCCAATTATGATTAAATAAAAGTTAGTTTGTTTTTGATGTATAATGAATTTTTTTTGAAAGATGCACTTATCAGAAGTTATAAGTGTTTCAAGTTTTATGTAGCTGCCATACCATGTATATGTGAATCTGTGAATATCAATGGAGTTCATTTTAAAAAAAGAAGAAAAATGCTAAAAAGAATCATTAGGAAACCATTATTACTTGGTGGAATCATTCTTTTTCTTCAAATAATGAACTGATACAAAACTAGCATCACAGCATATTAAAGACATCAAGCTTGTGATAAAGACATTGATGTTGATTCCTCCAAATAATAATAGTTCCTAATAATTTTTTTCCTTGGCATTTTTCTTTCTTTTATCAATTTTTGGTTTAATGATTTTTGTGTATTCACCAATTGGCTCAAATGTGCCACTCGGTCAATACATGGGAAAATCATTAAACCAAACTTTAGCCACTTATGAACTGGAAGCATTCACTGTCTGCACATTCATACCACATTGTTGATATGAATGTGCTGATTTGTTTGAGATTTGACATACAGGCAATTCTCTGCAAACAAAGTGTTAACACCTATACGTGTTGTTGCATTAGTATCTTTATTCAAAAATACAAAAGATGGTTCTGTAGTTTTTAAAGGATTATTTATTAGTCCATAATTTATACATAACTTCCATAGAATCTATGAAAAATCAATAACAGTTGGCATCTCTTATTAAGTAATGAAAAATTAAAAAATTAAATCTTGCCATTGAGGTCTGTTGCTTTTTGGCAGCCTCACAATTTAGTGAACATACAGTATGTTCAGTGATGTTGGAAGTATTTATTATGATGACCAAAAAAATTGCTTACTTCCTATGAATGGAGAAGTATTAATCTTTCTTACAATTTATCAGTCTTGAAGTATGATTATTAATCTTATTATCATCATTATCAACACATCTTGATTATATTATAAGTGCAGAACCCAAACGGTTAGGAGTTGAAAGTTGAAATTTGGTGTAGCCTACGACTAGGGTATGTCATGAGAACGTACACTAAGAAGGGATTTTTCAAAATTTCCCCCATGGGGAGGGGGACAGGATTAAGTCTTACTGTGAAGAACTTGGCTTTTATTATACTATTTTAGATGTGTTTTTGATTGTTTTAATAGGGTATGCCATGAGAATGCACATTAAGAAGGGATTTTTTGAAATTTCCACTGTAGAGAGAGGAAGAGGGTTAATGATTAACCCAAAGAACTTGGCTTATACTGTACTATTTTAGATGCCTTTTTTTGCATTTATGTGGGAAATCAAACATATTTTTAGACCCTTCTAAAAATTCTCAACAATATTTAGTGTTCCATCATATATAAAGTTGACATGGGGAGCACATGCACACAAGTTCGCTTTATTTGAACTCTTCATCTTAATGTTCGATTTTGTGTTCAAATTTATATTTATGAATAATTCTGGAAGAACCAGCTTATTTTTTGAATTTAGTAAAACCTGAAGAACTCAAAGAGTTACAAAAATGTTTATTATTCATCACTTAACAGTACTATGCATCAGTTAGTGGTTGCAGTAAGGCTTATTTATTGTTATATTGGTGTGGTAAGCAGATATCTAAAAGTTCTCTAATTAGTCTCGGAAGAGAGGTACCTAATTCTTGCACTCTGTGAAAACGGGTAAGATCAGCTATAATCTAATAATCTTAATCTTTGCTATTGTTACTTTTTGTCCAAGCAATGCTGAGCTCATCTTCTAGTAAATAATACTTGTTATGATCATTTATTACAGTTATATTTCAGTTATTGTTTCAGGAATGAAAATAACAATATTTTTTAATATAAGTTATTTTTATTCTGTTTTGTGTTTCACCTTTTTTCCTTTTCACTTTCTCTCAAACTAAAATTACATTATTTAGTCGAATAGTCTAGTTTTGAGGAAGTATTTTATCTGAATACCAAATATGTGTTTAGTATTTGGCCAAATACAGTAAAGCCTCGCAAACTCAGCACTCGATAACCCAGCACTCCGGATAACTCGGCCACACCCTGGCAGGACAAAAAAATCCTTAGTTAATTAATTTTCATGATAAAGACAGCTTTATGCCTCATAAAGTATTTTTCTGAGGTCTGTCTTATCAGGTAAATTACTGTACACAGTGTATTCATTAATTTTCATTTTCATGTAGTAAAGGCTCTATGCCTTCATAAGAGACATACTTTTCCTTTGTTTAAGAGTATTCAGGCAGTTTATTCTCTGCTGTATTCTCAAGTAAACAATATATACAAGTACAGTACAGTATTTTCTGAGGAAACACTCATACTTATTTTTTTTAACCCCATTCCAGATAACCCGGCATTTTCACAAACTCGGCCACCCTTCGGTCCACATTAGGCCGAGTTTTCGAGGCTCTACTGTACTTGCTTTATGGTCAAATATATCCAAATACTGAATATTTAGTCTAACACTAATTTGGAGTTTCATGGATTCTTTTATGACATTTTTAATTTGTGATCAATATTACATTTGAATTAAAGTTTTAAGATGTGATAAGGATAGATTTTTATAATTCTTTATGATTTTGATTTTTATCTAGCCAAATTCATTTTCTATTTATGGAAAAATTTAATAATAATTATTATTATATTAAAAATCAGTTTTGACAAATTCTGTAAGGTTTCATATACTGTACTATAGATCCAATAAATAGCATTAGTATTTATATGGGTCTATAAATGCTATAGATGTTAATAATATATTAAATGTTTAAGCAGTATTAATGTAATTTTATATATAAAAGAACAACAATTGACTATCTTTTATCCAGTAGTAAAAATTTATGGTAAACAAATATTTTTGAGTCACTTAATAACTCATCAAACTCAAATGTATTGTGGAATAAATTTTGTTTTTTATACAAGATTTAATCCATAATTTATTTGAACTTTAAAATGAGTTACTAAGTGACTTAAAAACATTTGTTTACTTTAAATTTATATATACAGTACATATTAGTTATAGAAGAAACTATGAAATTACTTAATCACTCCAAAAAAGTTTTGAAGGTTCAGATTTATCATGTTGAATTAATATATACAGGTATATCTCAAGTTATGTTGTTCTTGATTATACGTCATTTGTCAAAAACTTGATTTTTATTTTTCCATATATTTTAAGTCATTTTATTCGACTTTATAGCATAATCATAATCATAATCATAATCAAATAGCAAATACAATACACCAAGAGCTTGCACACAAACGCAGCTTATGTCTGTCCGCCACAAATATTGAAGTCGTAATATCACTAGAAAAGCGTTAAAGCACATAAAATCATATTAAAATATGTACATTTACAGTAAATGTTGGTAATATAATCATCATAAATCCTAGAGAACAAAACATAAAAATATCTGTGTTTCTGTGTTGTTGTCTTATTTAGCGGTCTTTAATTGCTCAATATTGGTGTTTTTCACGGTAGCTCCAATATCTACCATTTGGCGTCATTGTCAGCGCCACTCATTATTGGTAAATTTAATATAAATTAGTTTATTTTCTACTGTCACAAGATAATTTTAATAACTATATTTGTTATTTAACCTTACAAAATCATCTTATTTTTTAATGTCTTAGTGCAAACCACATTCACAAATAAAGAGTCCGCAATGTACTGTAAACATGTACATTTACAAGTATGCACTGTACGTACATGAATTCATAAATTTAGATTACTTTTTTCTGTACTACAGTGGTACCTCGGTGTACATCTGCTTTAGAGTACGTCCAATTCAGAATACGACCTGCTTGGATGAAAAAATTTTGCTCGGTTTACAACTTTTGTTTGGTATACGACTTAATTCAATTATACACACCATCTATGAACAAGTAGCACTATCGGTGTAGTAGGCCAGACTAGACATTCGCAGTGCCACAGTTTATAACTTTGTTAAATTTCTTCTGATTTTAATTTGTAAGTAACATTTTATTATTTTTATTAATCATGAATTGCAAAAAGGCAAATGAAAAGCAACAGAAAACTAAAAAAAATGCCTAGAATCACAATGGAACTGATAAAAGAGATTGTTGAGAAATATGAAGGTGGCATGCATGTTTGGGATTTTAATTAACTGTTGCATACCGTATTCCAAGAACGACGATATCGACAATTGTGAAAAATAAAAACATTATTAAATCTGCTAATGTTGCAAAAAGGTTAAATTAATTTCTAAACAGAGATCGAAGACATTAGATTACGTTGAGAAATTGCTTTTGCTTTGGATAACTGAAAAACAATGTGCTGGAGACAGTGTATCAGAAGCAATTATTTGCGAGAAAGCTAAAAAGATACATGCTAATCTCATGAAAAACCAAGCAGGAACTAGCCAGGAAAGCGAGGTGTTTAAAGCCAGCTTTTTTTTTTTTTTACATGAGAACGGATTAATCATTTTTACATTACTTCCTATGGGAAAGGTTGGTTTGGTATAAATCCAAACATTAGGAACGGATTAATTAATTTAAGGTCGTATACTGAGGTTCCACTGTATATTAAAAACTAAAATTTTTTTGTTTGTAAGCTTAAAATAGATTCTTATTAACCATATATTATTAAAAATGCATTTATAAATAAAATACAGAACTGGGAATGGTTATTTGTGGTTTAGCCTAGTGACAAATAAATTAGAAGACGAGTAAATTTGACTTATGTCACCTCTCCTGGAACCAATTATTGATGTAAGGCGAGATATAACTGTATATGTACTTAAAAATTGGATTTTATTGAACTACAATTTATATACAGTGGGATATGCTAGAACAAACCTAATTGCTTCTAGACTTTATTCTAGCATACATTGAAATATATGTATTAAGGAATAATCCATTCCAAGTCCAAAGCCTAGAGCAAAGCTGCTATTTAACGTAACCATTTAAACAGGAAAGATATAATATAAAATCAAAAATACAAGTGTAAAAATAATATAAAATTAATTAATTTAATTTTTATACACTATACACAAGTTTCCATCTGTTTTGTGGTATTACAATGTGAACTGCTTAATATAGAGATTTCCTTCACAACCTGTAAACTTTTTATTTCTTCCTTATTTTTAAAATGGTATTGATCATTGATTTAGCCATACCATATTCAGCAGTCAGATCTACACTTTTTCCACTTTCTTGCTTGAAAATTATTTCTTTCTTGATGTCTAAGTTAATTAGCTTTCTCACTATTTTGCTGGCTTGTGACTAAAATTGTACAGCAGAATAATTTTTAAAAATATATTTTTATTGATAAAGATGCAAATAAACAGATATTTGAACTTTACAAACTATAATAAAGACAATGACTAAAGCTCTAATCGAAGCATTTTCCTACTTTGATTAAAACATTAGTGACTGTCAACATGTCATGCACATGCATGTGCCATGTCATTCGTGTTCATTTTTATGAACACGACTGACATGGCATATTCAGATTTTATACATAAAAATTGTTTATTGTAACATCGTTCATTCTAGCACACTGCACTGTGAAAATTATTCCGAAGAATTTATTACTTTTATGAAACAAATGAATTTTAAAAATGTAATAAATTCTAACAATATTTTTTTCTTATATATTCTAGGATAAAAGTTAATGTCATGCTTAAATTGTATCAACGTATTTATAATAGCAGTTTGAAACATCATTCCTTGTTGAAAAATTACATAAAAACTTTTGCAACTGTGTTGAATGATTCAGAAAATAAAGATGAAAGTCCAGATCCCATAAATTTTGACACATTTGGAACTTGGGATAACAGAATAGATTTGCCACTTTTGCTACCTGAAAGTATTAAACATGGAAAGCCTATACCTCAGATCTCTGTAGAGAATGCAGGATGTGCAAGCATCATTGGACGCCGTACTACAAATGAAGATCGATTTAGGTATTTTTTTTTTTAATCCAAATATTTATTTGGATGCATTTATTAAACATAGACTTTATGAATTAAAAACAAATTGAAAATTATTTAAAGATTTGTAGTAAAAAAGTAGAAATAGCAATGCTATTTGCTTTTATGCTTGCATTATTTTGTATAAGAATTATTTATAAGAAAAAGTATTGAATAAGAAAGTATTAGAATTTTCAATGATCATTACTGGACACGCACATGTCTCGAGCGACTCCAAAGGAAAACAAGAACAACACTTACTAAGCATAAACAATATCATCCAAAATCATCCATAGAAAGACTAACTCTTACTTGTAAAGAAGGTTGCCATAGCCTGACTAATATAGTTAAGCTGTAATACAAACAAATTCTGACTCTGCAGGAGTTTTTCCACAAAAACAAGAAACATCAAGATTGCATAAAGCTACAACTGGCAGACAGTAACCACACACACTTTTAAACTTGCATTCTGAGCACCTGGACATGGCTGTCTGTTTGAATAAACTGAGGAATTCATGGTTGCCATTCAAGATCAGATCATAAACATTAAAAATGACAGAAAATACATCCTGAAGGATACATCACTCATAAATGACTCTTGCAGAAAATGCCACATTCTGCTGGAAACAATACAACATATAATCTCTGATTGCAAGCTCGTAGCACAAACAGACTATTTACATAAGCATAATCAAATAGCAAATACAATACACCAAGAGCTTGCACACAAACACAGATTATTAAACATTCAGGTACCATACTACAAATATACTCCACAGGCAGTATTAGAAAATACATACAAAATGTACTATGACAGAGCCATAATCAAGATAAAACAATTCATTGCAATAGACATGTGTTCCAAACACTCATAGCATAAAAAATACTCGCACTAAAAAAATCAACAAGTACACTCCACTTGCTCATGAAATAAGACAGATGTGGAGTATGGATAAGGTATTTATTGTACTCTCTTCTACTGGTGTTATACCACATGCACTACACAAAAGCATAGAAACATTAAACCTTAATAAAAACGTATACATGGCAGTACAGAAAGCTTCAATATTGAACACACGTTACATTGTTAGGAAGTTTTCTAGATGTTGAAACATATATCAATAATACAGCTTAATGTTACACTTGTTTGGGTAACTTGCCTTGACTTTAGTCCAGCATAAGCTGAGCATGTTTTATTAAAAATAATAATAATAACTCTCCCGTGGTCACCACCTGGTCATGGTGGGAGAGCCCAGTAATTTTACTGAACCATAGGGCAATGCAGGCTGGAGCACAAGCTCCTGGTAGGGACACCCATGCCAGTAAGGTCTATGGGGAGAAATGAAGCTAAGAGTGACCACACACCCACATTCTGTGGAGATAATCATTATGGTAGTAACCAGATCNATTATATTTAATCTTGTTTAATATTAAAGTTTTTATATATATTTTAGGGCTAAAGAATTACTTCCTGACTTGTTATATTTTGCTGTTTTTGATGGACATGGTGGAGCAGAATGCGCTGATTTTTGCAGTAAATATATGGAACAGCATATTTTGAATGTAATAAAACGTGGAGAACAGAACCTAGAAGTTGTTTTACAAACAGCATTTTTTGATGTAAATAATTCTTTTACCAATTATTTTAAATGTTCAGGTATGTAAGAATTCAATTACTAATATAATATATATCTATCAATAATTAGTGCAACATTTGAGAAAAATCAGAAAATGATTTATCAAATTATTGTGTTTATTTTTATATGCCTTCTCATATGTCATTGGAAAGAAAGTATTATTTGGAATTCAAAAATGCAAATGGATTTAAAACTGGACAATTTTTTGAAATATATTGAATAAAGTGATGGTCAGTAAATAAACAGTTATAATAAAAAACTATGTAAATATTTTTCATAATCAGTTATATTAATTATGTACAATTAGCATTAAATTTGTTAATTGTTTTAGTGATAAATGATTTATTTCTATCTGAGGTTAAATTTTGTTATCTACAGTGTAATGATTCAGTACCAAAGAAAGATATAAAATTTTCTTCTTTCTTAAGAAACATCAAATAAAATAAGGAAAGCGACTAGAAAACTATATTACATCCCAGAAATTGGTGTATACAGTCGACCCCCCATAACATGGGTTCCTATAGTTCAGATTCCTATATCACAGCAAAAAAATTGCGACAGTATTCGTACAAAAATGCTAAAAAAACTCTTATAATTCAGTAAAATGTCATCACTGACTCGTGTCGCGACAGGATTGATCGAATCTAGACCAATAGCAGATATTGTACAAACCGTTGAGTTTAAACAAGCAGCGGACCTACTAAAAACCATTTATTATTTAACGTCCGTAAAAATTATATTTATATTAATGATGTCTCCAAAGTTCAGCGAATTTTTCGCAAAAAAAATAATTTATCATGAAGCACGCAATCGCCATTCAATGACAAGCTCCATGACGAAAACAAGCTTAAGCAATGGCATAGTCGAACAGTGCACGCTTGGTAAGTAATCCTACAATTTTTTGTTTATAGCATAGTTTATATGGATTATTCCCAAAAAATTATATGTATTTTGGAAATGTTGAGTCGAATTAGTCTAGAATCGATTAATTTTATGGAAGAAACCTTTCAAACAGCCATAGTTCGTAAACTGCATACATGTCAGGCTGTGATTGGCTGGACTCGTAGAAAATGGATTCATAAAAACTGGAACATATCTACCGTGTTATAGGGGGGTCGACTGTATTTCATGAAAGAGTATCAAAGATAAAATTCAGAAGAATCAAAGATATGACATCCAACAAAGGCTACTACATACACAGATGTTTTGTGATTTTCTATAAAACATAGACTTAAATTGTAATCAGCTGCATAGAAATTCACAAAAGAAAATACATTTAATTCAAAACAGTTTTTAGTTAATTGAATTGTAATTATTAATCTTTTCTTAACAGGTGCTTGTAAGAAAGTTACACAGATTTTTCAGCCTTAAAACAATTGAACAAAACAAAATATAATAAATGCAGTTTATGAATTTTTTGTAGATCATGAGGTGTTTCTACTAAATACATTTTATAAGTATTGAAGTATCCTATTAAAAGTTATAATTTGCAGGCTGTTTTATGTTGTTTTTATGTTGTAGTTATCTAAAAATTGTTGAAGGAATACTGAATACAATGAAATACTCTATAATAAAGAATCATTTCTATATGATTGATGTTATTAATCTAAAATGTTTCATATGCCTCATCTGCACTATAACAGAAAATATATGAAGAAAAGAAAAAAGATATATTTACATCATAATAATAATAATAATAATAATAATTTATAAAATACACTTATACAGGTGACAGATGAGAATTTATAAAATATTGAGCAAAAAATATAATTTAAAGAATTTCTTTCTTTTGTTCTATATTTTATTCCCTCATCATATTTTATTTGATTTATTTAAATGAGTTATCCAATTTTAAATCAGTTTGTAATTTTAGATTACAGATCATATTTTCTGGCAAAGTAATAAAGGTTGTCCTTCAAATCAGATTCTTAAATTCTTACATTAAAGCAACCAAAGCCGAATTAATGGGCTAGAAGCGGCAATAATAATAATAATAATTTAAGATAATTTGGTATTAGAGTATAAGATAATTGTTTGTTTATATATTCTTACAAGAGGCATGATAAGATTATAGAATCCAATTTTCAGGATCTTTACCATTTTGCCAATTTTTCAGCAATTTGGACAATAAAAAGATAATAAAATAAAATTCTATTTTATAATGTTATTAAAAATTGATTGTTCAAAGTTATATAAAGTAAGCTATCGCTTTCTCAATTATTGCACTAATGATGATATTTCAACTTTTTTGAATAATAGTAGTCAAATTTTCATTAATAATTGAATATGACTAAAATAGGAATTGTAAGTTGTAATTACCAATTAAATGATTATTATATACGTTATATTATCATCAATAATAATATAATACAGAGTTTGGCAAAATGTTTAGCCAGATAACTTATAAATGAGGCAGCAAAATGTAACCAATGATTGAATACATATCAAAATAGCATCAGTACACAACCAAAAATAAACCATTTGCATATCACAACCTTCATAAATCATTTCCTAAATATTACACCAGGTAGGTAGTCACCATCGCGAGCAATGCATTCTTCCAAGCACTGGATGATTCAATGTGTCTAAGGAATTGATTCATTGCTGATAAATTTTTTTAAATTTGAAAGTTGTTTATCAATTTAGATATTGTTTTGTTAGAAAATTAATTTTATAAAAGAATAAACACCAATATAAAGAATATTTCTAAATAAAATATTTGTGTATAAAAAAAAGGGAGATATTCCCTATAATTTATTTATAATGTAAGATCAGTATTTCAGTAATATAATTGTTGACATATATAAAGCAAAAATGTTTGTGATGTAGAGATTTTTTCTTAGCAAATATATTTAATGATTTACTTCTATAATATCTAATGAAAATGGCATTTTTGTTTATTAAGTTCTGAATTTGTTGATGGTGTGATGCTCAGAAAATGAATAGTTAAGAATATTATAATTTGACTATTTATAAAATTCTTTCAAAATGATACATAAAATAAAAAGTTATTTAACTTTAGTTTCCCAATTCTGTAAAATATGAACTAAAATAAAAATCTAAACTTACATTATTGCTTAATGTAAGTTTACTACAAAAAATAAAAAGCTAAACTTATTTTGTTTGTGTTTTAATTGAAATGATTATCTAAAAATGTGCTCTCTAATGATGCCAAATTTAGATTTAGAATAAACCAACTGTCTTTTAGTGTTAAAACTTTTCAAGTAAACAACTACAAACTACAAAGAAGTACTTTCAACATTTCAAAATGTCATCTTCAGGCAGAGTAAATCTTAGTGTGTAGTTTTTACAAAAAAAATCAAACAGATGTGACATAAATGTTATAATTTTAACTTGTTAATGTATCTAAAAGTAAATAAGTAAAATTAGGATACTGTTTTTAAGAACATCTAGATGACTTTAACAATATTAGAATTACTACCAACCTTGACAGAAAGGTATTAGAGAATGACTTTGAACCCTTATGGGCTGAAGCTTCCCTCCTTAAGCAATGTTTAAATTGCAGAATCATCTTTCTCTGGGAGTTATTATACATAATGATGTTAGAGCCCTGTAATCTTGAACACCAGAGATATAGGCTACACTTTACAAAATGTTAAAATAATTGCATTTTTATTTATTTTTTAACATATAAACATGTTGTAAAGTGTAGCCTATGTTAAAAAATAAATAAAAATGCAATTATTTTAACATTTTGTAAAGTGTAGCCTATATCTCTGGTGTTCAAGATTACAGGGCTCTAACATCATTATGTATAATAACTCCCAGAGAAAGATGATTCTGCAATTTAAACATTGCTTAAGGAGGGAAGCTTCAGCCCATAAGGGTTCAAAGTCATTCTCTAATACCTTTCTGTCAAGGTTGGTAGTAATTCTAATATTGTTAAAGTCATCTAGATGTTCTTAAAAACAGTATCCTAATTTTACTTATTTACTTTTAGATACATTAACAAGTTAAAATTATAACATTTATGTCACATCTGTTTGATTTTTTTTGTAAAAACTACACACTAAGATTTACTCTGCCTGAAGATGACATTTTGAAATGTTGAAAGTACTTCTTTGTAGTTTGTAGTTGTTTACTTGAAAAGTTTTAACACTAAAAGACAGTTGGTTTATTCTAAATCTAAATTTGGCATCATTAGAGAGCACATTTTTAGATAATCATTTCAATTAAAACACAAACAAAATAAGTTTAGCTTTTTATTTTTTGTAGTAAACTTACATTAAGCAATAATGTAAGTTTAGATTTTTATTTTAGTTCATATTTTACAGAATTGGGAAACTAAAGTTAAATAACTTTTTATTTTATGTATCATTTTGAAAGAATTTTATAAATAGTCAAATTATAATATTCTTAACTATTCATTTTCTGAGCATCACACCATCAACAAATTCAGAACTTAATAAACAAAAATGCCATTTTCATTAGATATTATAGAAGTAAATCATTAAATATATTTGCTAAGAAAAAATCTCTACATCACAAACATTTTTGCTTTATATATGTCAACAATTATATTACTGAAATACTGATCTTACATTATAAATAAATTATAGGGAATATCTCCCTTTTTTTTATACACAAATATTTTATTTAGAAATATTCTTTATATTGGTGTTTATTCTTTTATAAAATTAATTTTCTNTTTTTGTATATTAAAACCAAAATTCATTAAATTGAGGGTCTACTATAATTTATAAATAAAATTTCTTTGCATTATTATTATCACTATTGTTGTGTTTGTGAAATATATTCTACTTAACTTATACTACTGTCTCATACTATGCCAGACCAAGGTCAAGGCATAGCTTCAGGAAAAATTATTGTTTTGTTTACATGCTGTTCATTAATGTATTTGTGTTTAAGAATTTCCTGGCTATATGACATGTTTAGTATATCAGCTTTCTTTTAGTATTAAATTTTACATATTGTACAAAGTATTTTCATTAATGTGGAAATAATTATATTGTAGAAGGAAATGAGCAGTCGTCTGGAACAACAGCAACAGTATGTCTTTTAAAGAATAGTATCGAATTAGTGATTGGACATGTAGGTGATAGTCGTGCTATATTATGTCGCAATGGAGATAACATGACACTTACAATTAATCATGCAGCTGATTTAAAATCAGAAAGGGTAAGAATAAAAATATAAGTATTTTATTTTTTTTAAATCAGAAAAGCGCTATAGACCTAATATGATAAAAATGCATATTTATCAATATTGTAACATCTCTGTCCATAAGATCAAGAAAAAACATTTTGATTCCGATTTGGTTGTTACATTACAATCAAAAAGAGATTATTATTTACTATTTATTGTCTTTTTTTCCTATACCTATCAACTTTTTCTTATTAAAGATTTAAGTTACTGTATATCATGCATAATTAAAAAAAGTTTCCTTAGGCAAATTAAATTAGTTCTATAGTATGCATGTGACACACAAATAATTGTTACTAATAGTATATAATTTGTATCATAGATATGATATATTGGGGTGATTAGTTATTTTATTAGTTCTCCAACTTTATTCATTTATAATTCATCCAATGTATAAACAAACAACAACAACATTATAAACTAAAAGCCAACCAATGCCATATGTTATCAGGCTAGATATCAGCTATAATATTAATAAATTATAACGAGCTAGCAGTACTATAGGTATATGCTTGCTCATGAACATAATTGGTAATCTACTAAAAAAAAAATACTAAAAATCATAGCTAAGTAGCTACGATAAGTACTTGGATTTTATTAGTCTAATTGATAATTTTTCTTAGTTGGATATGATTGTTTTCAGTACAATAAAATTTCAATTTTCCAAATTAATTGGTATCTCAGGCCATCTGGATATGAAGAATATCTGGATAATTGGATTTTTGCTTAAGATAGTCATTCTTTCTATTTGTACCTCATTATGTACTGTACATGTTTACATAATTACAGGTAACCCCCGTATAACACAGTACTTTTATAGCACGGATTCACTCTGACACGGTTCGAGAATTGGATAAAACCCTCGTACAACAGGAAATGTAATAAATTTTTACATACTTAAGTAATAATAGTTCACGAAAATAATTTTTGTGAACTTAGTACTTATTGTGAGCAGCAGGGGGTCACTGGGTCGAACCCTAATGACCACTTAATCTGCACGGGTCGGGAAGACCCGCTCTCGGTTGTCGGATGGCAATAGGAAGGCAAAAATCATGAGTGGGAGGCGTAGCGAAGTCATGATGAGATGTCGGTAATATCCAATAAGAGTCATTAAAATTAGGAATAACATATTTAATAGAAACTAAAATAAAAATACAAATACATTTATTCTAAACAATATGATAGTGATAGCACAATAAATTCCGAGTCGCGACAATATCGAACGACCGACGTCCGAATAATCCGTTAGCGGACCATCAACGGTCCTCAACATAAAGTAATTCTAAGTCCTATCTAAAGGATCAGATAAATAAATTCAAAGTTCCGAGTATATCGGTAAACGACAATTTTCTAAGTCCCGAGTATACCGATAACCGACAAATTTCTAAGTCCCGAGTATACCGAGAGAGAGTGAAGTAATAACAATCTAAGTATTTACCTCTTTAGGTCGGCGATCAGAAACCTTGAAGTTGCTTGAAGACTTCTTTCCTTGATGATCTCTTCCTCCGATGATCGCCTCGAGATCTCCGATCATTCCCCTTTTATACTTTTTTAGCGTGGGAAATCTCGTAGACTTCGTTGACGCAAACTGTCACTTCTCCCGATTTATGACAGTCTCCCCCTTCATGGGTGACGACAATGCAGACATCGCTTGACCAATTACTGTTAAAGTCGTCATCACCTGGGGAGATGACTGACCATTTTTGGTAATGTTCTCACCGTAAGGGTGCCCTTGTAGGTGACCTCTTGTCTACCCTCAATACAGGAACATCCATCTGTCTCCGTCCACCGGACAAAGTCGGACACCGTAGACACCTTGTAATAGAGTGGCGACCAATTAGCAAAACAAACAAATGTCCCGGGGAGAGGGGACTTCTTCCGCGGTCGCCTCGGCCGACTTCGTCCTAGGGACGACCTTCTCGACAGACGAATTACGCAGTTCACTATCCGGGTTTATTCCTCGGATATTAGGGTGAGAACGGGAGAAACAACGAAAATGATGATGAAAGAAATATAACTNGCACTGATGTTCATGACAAAGCATGGAGTGGCTGGCCTTCTGTTGTCAATGATGGTTTGGTTGCAAAAGTGAATGAAAAAATTCCTGAAAACAGACAGTTCACAATAAGATTGCTTTGTGATGAGTTTCCACAAATTTCAAATACTGTTTTGCATGAGATTGTTGCAACAACTGATGTTCAGCAGTGGCTGTCTTCACTGGCGGCATCTTTCTTTGAAGAGGGTATAGACAAGTTGGTTTCCCGATATGACAAATGTCTGAACAATGGTGGTAACTATGTAGAAAAATAGTTTCAGACATGCTCTTTCATGTAAAAATAAATTTTGTTTTGAAAAAATATTTTTTATGTGAGTTTTTCCAAAACGGTACTTACTTTCCAGACATGCCTTGTAATTATTATTTCATAAATAATAGTTTGCCTTAACAAGATTTAAAATCTTGGAATTTCTTTAGTTTTGTTTATTAATAATAAAAATCAATATAATTTGCATTTGAAACTCGATTCATAATGTTCAATATTATAATTTAAGTACTTGTTTTAATTTCCTCTGAATTTTCATTTCATCTATTGTGCATATGATAGAAAATTTTCTTGTTGAATTTTTCATCATTATTATTATTATATTTTATAAATAGTTGCAGTTTCTTTATATCAGCTTGATCATGGTTAGAAATTAAGAATATCTGTTGGTTGTCCTATAATGAAACCAGATGCCCAAACTACCACACTTACATAAAAAAAATAGTTTCTTTTTTATTACTTGCACACTGTAAAACCATATATTAGGTTTACATATAAAATGGCACTTTTCAGTTAACTTGAATCTTACCCATTGTTGTACATATCGGCTGACAGACATCAGCCGATATGTACAGCAACGGGTAAGATTCAAGCTCTGAATGAGGAGTTTCACACCACCCCAGAATTGTTGGTCCTTCACATGATATTCGTCTTCGAAGATCAGTTTTTAACATGTATTGGTCTACCACCCACATGGGCCTCAGCACTCGCTATTTATTGCTCATACCGCAATGCCCGGGTCGGACAAGCCTTCACCTGGGTACTGAGATGAGCAATAACTATAACATGAAGTATTTCACGAACAATCAAGTGGACCACTCGAAGCTGGCACTCATTTGGACAAAATTGTTAAACACTACAGTCTTCTGGTGTCCTGTTAACTAAAAAGAACCCATAAAATCTTAAACATCCCAACAACTTACAAGGTTAAAATAATAATTCTAAAAAAGTAAATTTTCAGAAATAAATGCGTTAAAATTACTCTCTCCTATCTGACTTTGAGAAATTTAACACAGAGATGGATCACAATTTAAATTTAATATTTATTTCTTACTATAATTTCCAAATGCATTTCGCCTGTTGGCCTTATCAGTGAATACAACGTTTTACATTTTTAGTACTTTTATACTCAATCACAGTATACAAGCATGCATCTATGCATACGCCAGTATTTAAATTAATTGTATTTAGATAATTTACAATGCAGCAATGTTTGATAATACGTCTTTTTACAATATTTTTTGTTTTATACGTTCGTTTATTAATATTTCTATCAATTATACAATTTGTAAAATTACAATGTTGATGCCATGGAGNGATTATAAACAGTTATAAAAAATTGTTAAATTTCTGTCTTCATTAGATTGGATATTGTAACATGATGAAATCGTTGAAAATTTTTTTTTCTAAATTCTTAACCTTACAAATTTCTGATGGAATATTAACTTGTATTAATGAATATGAGGGTTTCGGCAGAAATTTTTTGCTTTCATGATCTGACTATTTTCCAAGAAAAGAACAAAATGAAAGTTCTTGTCTCAGAATAGGAAAACTTTTCTTCCTCTATCTCAACACATATCATTATGAAATGTAAGAGGAATGTCTCAGGTGAGTCAATAGAACAATTGCTTTCCTCTTAAATTTATTTTTTGGCATTTATATATATATATATATGTTCAAGAAAGAATTAGAATTACAAGCCACTTTAAATAGTAAATAGAATGCAAGTATGGATTGAAAATATAGATACTACTATGGTAGATCTTGAATGCAGGCTCCCTGTCCATGAAATCGATAGAGAAAATGGATATGTTAAAAATGATAAATCAAACACTGAAATAAATTTAATATATAATGAGCAATTAATTATTTTGGCATCATCACAATGCTAGGATAGAATTCTTAATCATATTTTTAATTTATTTAATTTAAAATATATGCTCTCCACCTCAAATTAGTAGTGGCTTGCCTCTGTACAGTACTGTACATCATACTTTTCCTTTAACAATAGGGTTGTGACAGTCATCTGTTTAATTCCTTTTGGGGAAAAATTTTGAATTGAAATAATGTGACTTTCGATTTGCATTGGAAGTTCTTATATAGTTAATCAGGGTCTTTTGCCCTAAGGTTTCCATATCTGATGTCGTCTTTCATCTATCTAACTTCATTCTCAATATTAAGAGAAGATGGACAGATGGATGACAGTGGGAATTTATAGATCTACAATTTTTTCAAATTGCAGCCCAATAATTTTTATGAAAAGGTAACATGAGATTAGAAGATAAAGATGGAATAATATTGTAATCTCATTTAGAGGATAATGATAAAGTGGATTATTACTTATATAAGATTAACTGTAACTTAAAAGTCATAGATGTGAATATTAAATGTGCTTTTAGAATTAAAAAAAAGACAAATAAACTTGCAAATAATCAAACTTTTAAGATAAAAGATTTAAAAGTACAGTATATAGAAATATTAGTGATGATTATTCGATGAACACTAGAGATAAAATTCCAGTTTATATGTTGCATTTGGAGTTTGGTGTTTCAAAAATATTGGTAATTATAATTGTTTTATTTTGGATTATACTTTTGAAATCAAATGATAAAAGTGTTATACACTAGTTTAACATAAAACTCTATAAATTGTGTT